TCTTAGTGAAGTCCGTTCTCTTTTGGCATTGTGCTTTTGAGCTTGCCCTGTGGTGCCCAGTATTTCAGGATCATTCAAACATGTTCGCACATGTTCGCACATATTTTCAGATATATTCAGTTATGGAGAAGAATAACACGTCCTACCAACTAGAACGACATTCTGTGAGTGAGATTTTTAGCCAGGAATATTTGTAACATGACATAGCCATACATAGCCCATTCCCTCCCGTCATATGTTCGTTTCCTTTTTTCAATCATCTGTGTTTTTTACGAAAACCAGCTTGGAAGCTGGCTAGTCGTTTTGTTTTTTGCGGCGAAAGGGAATACAAGAGGTCTGGGTCGCAGGCCTTGCCAAATTGATTTAATTTTGAGGCCGTATCCCCATGCTGGAGAGGTTTTGTACCAGGTGGCAAGTCATGAATGGTGGGGTTTCATTCCACCCTGGATGTGTTGTGTGAAGCTATGTGTAGAAAAGCATGTTGGGTCTGTTTGCTGCTTGTCCGTCACTGTTTTGAGTCCGCCGTGGGCGAGGGCCTCGTTCATTAGAGAATGATATCAAACTAGTTCTGGGCGGATGAAAACAAAATTCGAGAGCAGGAAAATAAGACGGCCGGAGGCTGGTGGTCTTATGTCAGCCTGCTTGATTGAGGCTAGGCAGCGCGATCAATCTAGGGTCAGTCACGTGCTGCCAACACAGTCCTGGAACCCGGTCAACTATTTCCATCTTGGACTGTGAGCTGGCCTAAGATACTTGTATATGGTCGTTGCTTTAGGAAGGCTGGTGGTCGTTGCTTTAGGAAGAAAAGGGTATGAAAAGAGGTGGCATGGGGGCGGAAGGTAGGTATGAGTTGGGGGTTGCAGGGCTAGGAGATGATCATGGATGACCACGACGGTTTGGGATAATTGTGGCGGGCGACTGAAAAAACACTCACAGGTTCTGTGGGCATGGAAGTTGCGTTCACTTATCCATGTATCCATGTTCATTCATATGTCCACTGAAGAATGCATATAGGGCGTCTACATACTCATGTAGTATGCTATGTATCTATCATCTCCTTGATTTCCATCCCTGTAATCTTTTCCTCCCTATCCCTCAGGCTGAATTATAGCGATGTTGCGACGCTGCTGGAAATGGTTTATAGGATCATGGACGATCGTGGCCCATAAATGGCTGTATGTCAGGTTGGTGAAGTATAAAAAATCACTTAGTTTTCTGTGTATAAAAAATTTGGCTGTGTCCCCTGTCTGTCTGTGTCCCTGTGCTGTTTTTCTTGGCCATTAATGATTTATCTACTTATGACCCCCCTGGCTTTCGTCAATCTCTTTCGCAGGTTGCTTTTGCGCACACTTGCACATGTTTCGATGTGCCTGTTTCATATTTTAGTTTTTACATGTTTTTAAATATGGAGGTGCGCATGCGCCCAAAACATGGGACGCCAGAAGGTTTCGGAGCTGCAAAGCTCACATATGACATGCAGATGAGCGATTCTGTGTAACATGTCTGTAGCGGTGTTTAAGAAATGATCCTGCAGTCTGCCGCATGTTTGTTTCTTTCCACTGCTGTGCATTGCGATCAGTTGAGGTTCCTTTGGACCGTGGGCTCTTCAAAGGAAAGTCGAGCAATGCTGTTGAAGTTCGGTGTTAATGCGCAGGCTATTCCTACTGTTCCCCGTGTAGCGCTTGAAGACATCAATGAGTATTTCACAACTTGTGAAAGTGACAGCCGCCAACAAAGCACTGTCCGGAAAACCCTCGAGCGACTGGGCGTGGTCGGCACCAGGAACTATGTCATTGCTCTTGACGAGACGTACTGGTCCCCGACATATGACTTGTTGCCAGCAGGGACAAACAAAACGGGGATTCTGATCGGCGGCCCCTGGGGCCATGGCAACTTGAACCTGTCCAGACTCAGCAGTGCAGAGGGCAAGAATGTGGACCACAGCACCGCCAGCCGCATGTCCTTGTCATTCTGCATAGCGCGGGCAGATACTTCTTCTCATGTGTACGATGTGAATTTGATTCCCATCGCACCAGGAAGCGGATCTTCCAAAAGCAGTTTTTTTCTCGATCTTCTCGACCAGCTCCTTGCAAATTGTGTGCTGTGCCATGGGTGTCCACCTATTGGCTGCGCCTGGGACGGCGGACTGAGCAATGCCAAGATTGGGCGCTTTTTCTTGGGCATGGTTTCGCCTGCTGAGCTGGATTCTAGTCCGAGATTTTTTGCCCGGTGTCAAGTGATCAAGCCCAAGTTGCCATACTGGCTTTACGGCGCCTTGAAGTACGATTCCCAGTTCTTTGTCTTTGGGAACACAGATTTACTCCACCAACTCAAACGCCTCAGCCTCAATGCCTTCGATTCCACGCGCACATTGACTTTTGGATCCTGCCAAGTGTCTTGCCTTGGGCACCACCTGAACCATGGTCTGGCCTTGCAGGCATTTACATGCAGCGACAGGATGAGTGACAAACAAGCCTTGCAGCGCCTATGCGCAGGACACCTATCCAACCACCCTGCGGATTGTGGAGCAGCGCTGGTCATGCTGCTTTCTGCCTTGTTGTCGAGCGCTTGGCTTGGGTGCAAGAGTTGCTTGGCCTTCAACTAGGTTTGTTGCACATCTTTGATTTTCATGGCGGTGATCCAGGGAGTTTTAAAGATGTTTCGAATCAAGTGTATGTTAATGCTTCTTGAGTAGGGGGGCCTATATGGGGCTTTTGACTGTTGATTTAAGCGGCTGACCACTCTTTGCCAATTGTGCGTAATGCGCTTCTGATTTCCATTCTTGTCCGTGCATGCCCAGACACTTCAATTGGTGCAAAGTGAGGGCGCTGCAGTGTCCCAAACCCAAACTCTTGCAGATTCTTGCAGAAATTCAGTGATATCTTGATGTTGGTGCCTGTCCAAATTCCTTAACAAGTCAAGTATAGTCAGGTATACAATAACCACTCATGACTTCATTGCATTTGCATCCAGTACAGTTGGATGATATGATTTCATAGCAGTTTGAATTTGATTTTGAATGTGTCAGGGAATGTCAGGAAGTTAAATTGGTGGCATCTGGCCCCAAATTGGTGACATCTGGCTCCTGGCCAAGATGGTGCTCCACTACCATGGTGATTACTATAAACTTTGCCAGCACAGTCTTACACAGTAGCATGCTGACAGCCATAGGCTCTATGCTGCAAGCTTTGCCAGCACAGCCTTACACAATAGCATGCTGACAGCCAGAGGCTCTATGCTGCAAGCTTTGCCAGCACAGCCTTACACAGTAGCATGCTGACAGCCATAGGCTCTATAACTTTGCCAGCACAGCCTTACACAGTAGCATGCTGACAGGCATAGGGTCTATGCTATAGTTTTGCCAGCACAGCTTTGCCCCCTAGCATGGTGACAGCCAACGCCTTCGAGCCAAAAAAAAAAATGTTTTCCAGACAGGAAAACCAATTGCGCCACATTCTATTCTTCCTTGTATGTATATATTATAGATATATAGATATATATGTGTTTGTTTAGTTTTATCATATTTCTATGTGGGATTGTATGGGTCTACTACCATCACATATTGGGAACCCCAGGTGAAACCCACAAGCAGCATCCGATCTATCCTGCAGCCATTAGCATTTATTATTATCTTTTTTGGGATATCTTATGTAATTATTTTCCAAATTTCAGAGTAAGCTACCCTTTCAATGTGAAGAATGACTGCAGGACCAACATCCCAGATGCCCTGGGGTGGGGGTTGGGGGGCGGGGGGGGTCTCGCACAGGCAAGACGGAAGCTACACCGACCAGTGCCACTTTGCACCTCAGGCGCGAGCAGCGCCAGGGGACCAAGGAATCGGATAATGACACCGAACCCCTGTGGGCAAGTTTTTTTTGGTATCATCTAAGATCATCTAACTTACCAATTTGGCAGATGTGTGCAGTAGTCATATGTTATTATATGTTCAACCCTTTTACTGCTTCCAAGTTTTTTTTGGGTTGCTGCCTTCATTTGCATGATTACAGCAACGCATGTTGTTGACATTTTGCTACATTTGGAACACTTGTTCGTATGGCAGGCACACGTCCTGGCACAGTGAGGTGCAACCACCCCCCTGCTGCTGCTGCTCTGGAGTGCAAACATGTTTTCAAAAAAACAAGTTCAAGTTTGAAAATGCTTTTGACACGGCGCAACATGTTGCAACCCCTCTGTTTTAGATTTCAAAGATCAGGGCCGTGAAGGCCAGGCATGGATCTGGCAGCCCTGCTAAATGGACGGGCGGGCAGGGGCGGGAAGCCATGCCGGAAACGGCCAGCGTCTGCTGCGCCGGCCAAGGGCCAATTGAAGAAACAACCAGCTGCAGCAATGGGGGCCAGAAACCCTTCACCTCCCAATGATGACCTTGAAGTAGTTCTGTTTCTTGTCCAAAAAGGTTTGGTCCAAGTTCAAATGACATTTTACCCTTCCATTGCATGAGATGTTAATGAAAATTGGTTTGGCCAAGTTACATTGCATCATGTTGTGGATGAGTCAGCCACACTTTCCATGCTGCTCAGGCCATCTTTTCCGCCGTACCCTCTTCCAAGAACTGCGCCGCAGCTATCGTTTCGAAGTAGCATTCACACATATTCACACTTGTTTTTTATCATTGAACATGTTGGATGTTTGTTTTATTTTCTGATTAGTGTTTATTATCCATTTCCTGCACACATCTTGCCAAATCATTAGCGCAACCCTAGGCTTTGGGCTTTTGTGTTGCTCGAGCGCGTGGCTATACTATGCGGAGAAGGATTTCTGAAAAGAAAATTGAGTACTTGGAATGCAAACCAACATTGTATGTTCAACATATTAAACAATTCGTTGTATTTTTTCCCAGCCCTGGTACCTCTTAGCTGTTACTACCATATCCTTCACCAATGCCACCATACTTAGGTACTGTGAAGTGGAACTGTTTTGACTTATTTGGCGGCGCTCTTTGTGTGCGACGGGCATGGGAAATGATTTCAGTTGCAGCAGTGGAAATGTGGGGCGTGGTAACAGGCCTTACGTTCACATTCAATGTCCCTCAGATGTATTGAAGTGGGTAATATTTGATAGGTCTGTGTGGGCCAATTTCAGGCACAATCTCCATTGATCAAAAAAGGTACCCATTTATCCTGTATACCCATCAGGCATGTAACATCTATTATTCAATTAACATCCATTAAACAACTGCAATCTCCATTGATCAAAAAAGGTATATAACAATTCCATTGTATCCTGTATACCCATCGGGCATGTAACATCTATTATTCAGTTAACATCCATTAAACAACTGAACCGTTACCTTCTGCAATGAACTATATTTGTGGCTACCAAAAATTAGAGCCCAACAAGTTGTGAACCAGAATGACACGTTTCCTGAATTAGGTATCAAACAAACATCTCCCATCCAATTTTGATGTAGCCAAGGTGGAGAAGAACAATGCCTGTGCAAATTTCACCATGGGTCACTATCCCGACAGCTGCCATTTTCGAGATATTCTTGATTTGGTCCAGAACCCACCGGAGAATGGACCCTGGTCTCCGTCAAAGCTTACACTGGTGAAAGAGGCATACTGTGAGCAACACCACATGATGTGTTTTGATTGCAACACCAAAGATTTTTTTAATTCCAACTGTTTTCATCCCCCTATTTTGGATTCCACACATTTTCATCCACTAATTTTGGGAATCCACAAATTACAACCACCAATTTTGGGTCTCCACAAATTATCACCACCAGTCTGGGGCGTCCATAAGTTATCACCACCAATCTGGGTATCACCCCCAATTTTAGGATTCCATAAATTATCACTGATTCATTTCCTTTTGCCGGTACCAGCCACCATGTGATGAGGTGCCCATTGGGACTCCAGGCAGGCTCTGAAGATGATTGTGGTTTGCTGGGAGCTCCTTGCATACTGTGGTCCAAGTACACTTAGCAGCACTACCCCTTGGAATTCCTTTGAACATGTTGGAATCAACCCTGGGATGTCATCAAATCTTTAAACTTTTTGTTAGAGGACAATGCCAGCACCGAATCTAAGGTATGGGAAAAAGGAAGGATTCGCCAACTCTGTTGTCAAACGTTTGCATGATGTTGGGACACGCTTCCAACAGAAATGTCCAGTATCAGTGCATGAAAATGTACCGGAGTATGAAGAGGCGGGGCCATTCAGCAGTGAAACATATTTGATATGTGCAGCAGGTAACAAGCAGTCTTCCCAAGCTTTTTCAATTTAGTGTCAACCTTAAAAAATGCGAGGACTACTTGGATGAAAATCTCAAATCACACACCGTCAGTGTGCACAGTTCAATCCTCAGGGATGAAGTTCGGCAAATCCTAGCAGAAGTTTCCAAACCTCATGGGCCAATCAAACCGCTATGCCAAGGCTTCACCCCAGGATGTTCGGCCACCCGAATTCCCGACCGAGATCATGGAGGATTTGTTTCCACAAGGACAAGAAACATTGGGCTTCCAAGTATTCCCTTGAGGAACTTGCTGGAATTCTGCTTGTGGGAAAGGACACCCCAGTCCCACTGAACTATGAATGCTATTTGTTTGAACTGCGAAATGCAAATGGTGCTCTTACAGAAGACCAGTTGACCAAGCCACTAGTCATGGATTTTTCTAAAACAATTTTGCTTTTCAAACTGCTGTTAATCCAATTAACATTTCCATATGAGCACACCGAACCGTATTTGAGGTCCCATGCGCATCATCTGGAGAAGTTTCGTCGAGCTTGCCCAGAGAAAGGCCTTTATGATTTGTCAGCGAATGTTGACAAGCGCAAACGTGTGGAACTGAAAGACAGGACCGAGATTTCTTCCAAGATTTTGTTTCCAACAATCACCAAGTTTTTTCCACATTACAAATTGGTGGCAGGACACTGCCATGCCTCACAACTAGCTCCTACTTCTGGCTACTTGCCGCATTTGATAAACCAAGATGAAACTCTGGTAACATTGCCTTGTTTCATTACCACTTATGAATGCATAGAAAAATCAAATTTCTTGCAACAGTGCTGCATGAACCAACTAGAGCATAGGCTAGTAAACCGCTTGGCCCATGCCCGAGGTCTGAACCAAAGGGTCGGACTATGACTGGTCGGGAGCATCTGCATGCTCTTGGATACCCGTGTTGGGGGCCAGGTGCCGCAGCAGCTCGGGTGGATCCCCAACTGCATTGATATAATAATGCGTATGTATATATATATACATATTGATGATCTTATATATTAAAGCTCTTATTACAATCATAATTCATAAATCATATTCATAACTTTAAATATATATATATGTATGTGCATTTGGGCTTTAATGTATACATGCTGTTTGCATATACACATTTGCGTATTAATTATAGGATCCCAAAAATGTTTCTGGATTATGTATGTAAATATATATATATTGAAATATGTTTGCAACAAATACACACATAAAACTAAATATGTTTATAGTTACAATCCAGGAACTATTGGTATGCATATCTATATATATGTCACTATATCTACATGTAAATGTATTTGTAAAAATAGCTCAAAACATTTATATGTATATATACATATTGATGCATATCTGTTTGGATATATAGTTATAGCTGTATGTGTGGGATGGGCCGTTCTGTGACCAAATTCCGGGTTAAAGTTACCCAAAAAAACATCCAAATTCATCTATTTAGCGGTCATGTCAGACCCCTGGTTGCATTATGTTTTTGGTCGGCAAATGCAAGGTTACCCACAAATTCATTTGAGAATCATCTATCTCTGATTTCTTTCCTATCTGAATTTTGATTCCACATTACCAAATGCTGTTTTGGCTAAGGACCCCATTGATACTTCAGAAGTTCGAGAGTCTGCCCTGCGATCTATGGCGGGCAATGGCATGAGCCTACCCTGTGCCGGCTTTACTCTTTTGATGGCCGTTTTGTTTGTAGAAGATAAATAGAGTGAAAGCTAATTCGATGATGCCATATGATATCAACAGGCTTTGCATCGACAATGTTGAAAAATGGTGCGTGTCATCTCCGTTTCTCACCAAGTGCTGTTTGTACATTCAACATATAAACCAGACCAGATTTAATGGCATCTTAATAGCAATTCAACATAAAAACCAGACCAAATTTAATGGCATCTTAATGGCATATTAATCAGACTATGTGGACTACAAATTGGAATAGGTGCCAACCATTCTGACCAATCACCAACTCTGGGGCTCGAGGCTAGATGCCACCGTTTGCACCAGAACCTGCCGAACAGAGGCGGCGTGCTGTAGTTTTTTTGGAGCAATGTCTTCAGGATCCAACTGTTTCTACTCCATCAACCCCTAGATTGTTTGGGGCAGAGTCAGCTGAAAGAGGAGGTAAACGGCCAAACAGGCAGTTGAACCCTTCCAAGAATTCCCATTTGAAAAGGCAACCTGCCCCCGGCCCATTTCAAGATGAAGGGGAGGAACAGCAGGGTGTTCCCAAAAGGATGAAGACTCCAGCTACTAGTTTGGTTCCCTTTCAATCAGAAGCTGCAGAAGATGATTTTGTTTGTGAAACCGATTCGTCTGATAGCAATTGTGGTGACCAACGGCCTAAAGACACAGTTTTTGCACTGGGGTGGCAAAGTGCTCAACAGTTTACTGCCAGTGGCTTTTGGAAAGAGAATGCCGATGAGGTGACAGAAAGACCCAAACGTGCTTATGACAACACTAGGCGAAAAGCCGCAGCTGCATACTCTAGACAGGGTAAAGAAGGCTTTTACAAGGCAAATGGGATTGACCAAAACCATTTGGAGAAGTTGTTTGAATCCCCGTCTTGCAGCTGTGCCTAGATTCAACTTGCAGAAAAAGTTTGTTTTTTTTGAAAAATGTTGGCGTGTTTATACCTATGATGATTACCCTATATTTTTGCATTTGCATTGCATTAAGATTTTCATCAAGACAAACCTGTGCTCCATACCAAGGTGCATTGAAAGATTGCTATCGACAGTACAAGGGATCAAAGGACTTTAAGGCCTTCTTAGAGAAATTCTGGAGCCTCAACAAGAGGGACCAAGATTCTTTGGATCTTTGGCCACATATTTATACAAACATTTTTTTTTAACCCGATTCCACGTCATAGAACCAGGGACAGCCAATTTCAAACCACGCCATGCCTTCTCTTCAGTCGGCTGAGGTTCAGCAGGCTGGAAGCACTGCCTCCGGGTGCGAGCTGCTCGAGAAGAAGGTTGGTAGCAAGTGCCTAACCAGTCTTTTGGGGATCGGAACCCATAGACTTCGCCGCCTACAAGGTGGTGGCCCTGATTTGCGTTTTGGTCAGAGGGAATACAAGAGCAAACCAGGGACGTGGACAATAGATTCATTCCTGCAAACTGCATACAACAACATTGCAGAGACATTGCCAGACCAGTTCCTTCTCTACAATGTGTTATTCTGTTGTTTTTTTAATGATGGGAAATGTATGGTTTTGGGATGTGCAGTTATTCTTCAACTGGTAGGTCTCTGAACATTATTTAGGGGGTTATTATATATGTTCCTGACGTTCAATTGGGTCCACATAGGTTTATCCGAAGAGGTCGCGCTTGCAAGCCCAAAGCCCCAACTGACCTGGATGACGACACTGCTTATTCTGAGTTTGAAATCAGTTCTGACATTGACAACACTGATGAGTTGGGAGAATGGTTGTCTACACGGTCTACTGGCCACCTGACCCAAATTCTTCCTGGCCAGTCTTTGATTCGAAAGTATCTTCCTCCTGGAACAGTTGCTGATTTGTACGAGCACTACAAAAGCAGCCAACAGATGTTAGGTCAATATGCTGCATCGTTTCTTGATGGAAATTGGTTATTTGCCAAAACCGCTTTTCCATAATTGCTTTTAACCATACTGGTAAATTCCCACTTAGGTTGGTTCACCAAAAAAGGCCCCCACAAGTCCCCCAAAAACCGTGCACGGTTTTCCCTACATTTTATGAAAGATTTTGGGACTTGTGGGGGGCCTTTTTTGGGGGACCAACCCAAGTGGAAAATTAGCAAACCATACCAAACATAGTCCCCATGTTTTTTATTAACATCACTGGAGGTTAAGTACCTTCCTTGGAGGTGACAACAGAAAGAAAGCATTATACCGATTGCCTATGGCTGGTTTAGAATTTCCCCTTACTTGTTTCTCGGCCAAGGTATTCGACTTTCAATCACGTGTACCAGATGAGGTGGAAAGACATCTTACGCTTCCGCCAAAAGACTATGTTTACACAATGTGAAGTTTGCCAGACTCTGAAGTCAGACCTATCTGACAGGACCTTGAGTTTCAACCAAAAGTTGGGTGCCCTTCAGCTCTACAGGCAGCACCTCCACGATCAGTATTGCGACAGGACAGTGTGTTGGCGCCTCCAAAGTGAAAGCGCTGACCCATCATCGTGCGTGGTCACCATCTGCACCGATGGCCTTGACCAGGCCAAATTTGGCTTGCCAAGGGACCCCCAGTTACGGTCATCGGCTGCACTGACCCTGGGTGTAATTCAATAAAATTGTATGTACCCAAGAAATAATTGGGGATGGATTCCAAATCCTTTTTCAAAAAATCCCAGGAGTCCCGAAAAATGGTATTACTAGGGAATAAAAGTACCAACTTGGTTATGATGGGGTTCATCCAGTATGATATCAAACTCTGGGTTGTGACAAATGTATTCACCTCCTATTGGCTCGGATATATCCATTGTATCAATCCATGGGACATTGGGGTTTTAATATTTCGAAAGCCTTGCATATTTGGAACGCCCCATACATTTGGAAAATTCAATTTTTCGATACAGATTTCCATCTATTAACTGTAATGAGTCATACATACACAAATATATATATATATATAAATGAACATATCTATATATGTATACATATATGTATATATGTATATATAAATGTATATATATATATATATATGAATATATATATGTATATATATATATATATGTATATTTATATGTATATGTATATGTATATGTATATACATATGTGTATATCTCTATATATATATACATGTATATCTATATATATATATGCATCTGTATACATATATGTAAAATTACATATATATAATATTTGTGGATTTGTGTAAATATTTATGTATATATTATACATGTGTATATATTTTTGTATTTATATATAGATAAATTTATATATATATACTTATTTATTCTTGTGTGATTTCTATCCATACTTTCCTCTTCCCTGTTTGGTTGGCTAAGGGCGAAACATATCCGGCCCCGGTTGAAAATTCATGGGGCTTGGGCCTTCGGATACTGTTGCAATATCTTTGCTATCGATGAACCTGGAAGACACAATTCCTCTTGCATAATGGAAATTTTGGCGCAAACAATGGATGATGCCACTTGCCTATACGATAAAACGTTTTTCGCTTACTGCCACCGAATGGATTTCCAACAGAAAATAATTCACCAATTTTATGAAGAAATGTCTTCTGAAATCTCCCCCCTAAAATGGGTCTTTTTTTCAATCAAACCTTCCTAGTTGTTAGTAGTCTGTTCCATCTGCATTTCTTTGCGGCCACCAGGTTTTCCGAATCTGTCGGCATCAGGGCCGTGAGCCTCCGCGCTCACTGGTCCTGATTGCACCTGGGCAGCCCAATCTGGGAAAGTGGTTTTGGTGTGTGTTTTTGGGGTTCCTTGGGAAATTTATGATGGATATTTCCTGCTATGTATTTTGTGGAAGGGACCATATGGCACATAAGGCCGACAATACAGTACGCGAAGCGAAAAACAGCTATCTCATGACATTCCTCAATGCCTTGGTGGGGAAATTTTTTCTCAGGAGTGCCACACTGGCACACCTGAGAAAAAGCCACACTCATTGTCGTATAGGCCTGGTCAAGATGAAAACTGGTCGTGACTGGGTGTTTGGTAAGTAATCCATTTACTATTGCATTTTATGTACGAATCTTCAAGCCATTCAAAACCTGCCCTGAAGATCAGCTCTGGGGAATCATCAGTCGTGGAGTTGGCAACCAGTCACAACTATTGGATGTGCAAGACTGCATGGACGCAATCCACAATGAGCTACGCAAACCATCCATACAACAGTGGTTGCGAACCAATGTGCAAGTCAATGTGCGGAAGCTGGATGCCACCCGTGATTGGCGTAAACACATTCCAAATCTGGGAGTTAAGCTGGAGGGTGGACTCCTTCGTGACCAAGATGGAAATCATCTTTTTTTGAGCATGTTACGAAGAGGCTAGGACCATTATATATGATTTTTGTTTTCTTCCACTTATATATACAAATAGCAACACCCTCAGTTGAACCCCAAAGAAAGCAACCCAAAGAAAAGTGGCAAAAAGGTAAGGTTTTTTAGCTCTTTAGGATGATTGCAATATATTGCAATTCTTTGGGATTTGCATTTGACCCAGGGGAAATTCCTGTCCGCCCAAGCCCCTGCCAGATGTCCCAGAAGCTTTGGCGAACAACATTGACCGTGGCTCCTTCAGAGGAACTGATTCACCAAATGATGTGGTATGTTTCATCAAGAAGCACATATGCGATGAGAACCTGTCCCAACAACCATTACTTGTACTGTCAGAGCATCGGGCCCGTAATTTTGCTTTGATTCCCGCTGCAAAGAGACTAGGCTCCTATTAGCAACCAATTTTCAACTTTTGAATTCATTTGGGATTCTTCACAATGTTGTCCAGGGACCCAACCCTATGTTATTAAAGTGTCCGATAATAAAGAATGTCCATTTGATTAAGGGTTTCAAAAATATGTAACCGACCCAAAAAACAGAGTCAGGAAAAAGATTTGGAACCATCATGATTTTTGAAGCCCCAGTTCAAGGGATTTTTTTTTTTAATGTATCATCTGATTACTAGTCTGGTTCCTTATTTCAAAAGTAGATGGCGATAATTTTCCCATAAAGCTCCATTTTTTTGTTGGGGACATTGATGCCAATCAGGGAATCCAACAACCACACAGCCGACAAAGCTGGGGGTTGGCGGAAGCTGGGTCTTGCAGTTGTCCAGGCATACGGCCACAAATATCAAAGGGCATGCGATTACTTAGTGCAGCTGGCCAACAATGAGCTTTGGAGGAATGCACAGCTACCCCGATTAGAGTGGCTTGAAAGTAACCCGGTGGCCCCACCTGTGGCTGAACCCAGATACATCTTGCATGATTCGGTGATCGCCGCCTTAGCCCCGGCCGTGCCGCTCAGAACGATTTGGCAGGGCAACCGTCGGCAATGATGGAGCAAAGGAAGTTGAAAAATGGTTTTGGGGGCCCAGGGCCAGTGGTTTAGGATGCGACCCCCTTAACCAACCACAAGCAGGGGATTACTATTAGATGGCATATGTTTTTCACCAAGGAAGGTAATGAGACAAGTAAGGGTCAATAAGGGTCAACTCTAAGTCTAGTTAGACAGGGTGTCCAACCATATTCATTCCTTCCTTGGTGAAAAACATATGCCATCTCCAATTTGGGGAAATTCTTTCAGCATTCAAAAGATTAGTCTTGGCTCAAAAATCGATGTAGTCAACTGTCACAGGGTCTTGGTTTCAATGCGACCAGAAATTAGTGGGATCGATTTTTTCAATATAGTGAAGAATGCTGAGGGCAAATTACCAATGTACCCACAAAAGACAGGAGTTCATTTTCGAATCACCCAACATTTTTGGGAACAGATTTTCGATGTAGTCAACCCTCCCAGGGGAACATTTTCGATGTACCCAACATTTTTGGGAACAGGTTTTCGATGTAGTCAACCCTTCCAGGGGAACATTTTCGATGTACCCAAAATTTTTGGGAACATATTTTCAATGTAGTCAACCCTTCCAGGGGAACATTTTCGATGTACCCAACATCTTTGGGAACAGATTTTCGATGTAGTCAACCTTCCCAGAGGAACAGTTTCGATGTACCCAACATTTTTTGGGAATAGATTTTCGATGTAGTCAAGCCTCCCAGGGGGAAATTTTCGATGTACTCAACACTGTTTGGTGACCATTTTCGATGTAGCCAACCTTTTGAGGGGAACATTTTCGATGTACTCAACACTGTTTGGTGACCATTTTCGATGTATGAGTCAGATTTTCAAACCCAAAAAACCATTTTCGATGCAGTGGACGGCAACTACTGCATTGAAAAATGGTTCCTGGAAATTCTTGGACAAAATTGGGTCGGTGTTGACGGCAGCTTCAAGTGCATTGAAAATGATTTCAAAATCCAAACAAGTTTTCAATGCAGCGGTGGAGGCCCACTGCATTGAAAAGACTTAGCGTCTGGGGCGCGGTGTAATTTTTTTATTGGAATCCAAAAATAAAATTACACCATAAGGCAAACGTCATCATTTTTCAATGCTCTGGGAGGGGTTCACTGCATTGAAAATGAAATTGGATTTTGAAAAAAAATTCAATGCAGTCAATGATGATTGCAATCATAGTGGATCAAACCCATAGACAAGCTGACGCCCATTGTCAGTCGTGATGTTCAGCCCGTTGCTGAAGAAGGCTGAGGAGAAGGCTGGCTTCAAGAAGGAGGAAAGTCCAGATTCCAAATCTGGCACTCCTCCTGCGAAGCGGCTGTGCACCATCTATGCCAAACAGTTGGCAAAGTTTCCACCGGGGGATCAGGGACTTGTGAAGGATGGGGATACAACCAGAATCAGATCCATATGTGAGTTGATGTGTTTTAAGATAAAACCATGTTAATATTAATCATCAACAAGAATGTCATACACATATAGTGCCCCTTTCCCATAGGACCTTCTGCGGTATGTGGAGTTGTTCAAGGATGACAATGCTTCCAACGCCCATCCTGCCCACTGCATCATGGACCTCCTTGCAGCCAAAGTTGTGGAGCACAACACACTGCATGCTTCCCAGCTGGCCACCTGGTTTCGGGACTACACTGCCATGAGGGGCAATCCAGGTCTCTTCAAAGCTGATGTGGTTTCTTTGCTTCTGATTAGCATGGTGTTGTTTTTCAAACATGGAATGAATGCCCCAAAAGGGTATATCTCAATCTCAATCTGTGAGCTATGGGTATCCAGGGACAAATCATATGATATCTTAGAGGGATAAAGTTAAGAGGACCCCTGTTTTGTGACATCAAAAGGATGTTTTTGAACTAGATTCAACCCCACTCAGGAGGCAAGCTGCGCTTCCGACGGGGAGACCATCAAAGTGCCCATTACGTGCCTGAAGATTCTAGGCAAACATTGGATAATCATCTAATTCCCATCATCTAATTTAATAGAGCGATTTCCCATCATCTAATGGTTACAAATGTTAATCACTTATCTTCTGGGATACCTTCTTACTGTGGGGAAACCTTATTCGGGCCGTAGCTTCAAGGTTATAAAGTTCACCCACCCATCTTATTAAGATATCTTGGGATTTGTTGTTACAGGTTATAAAGTTAATCCACGGATCTTATTTGGGATGGGTTTGATTAAGTCAAACAGTTAACTTGGGTTTTGTGACGGGCTCTGAAGTTTGAATCTCCTTAGGGTTTCTGGTAGGTTTTAGAGTTCAACCACCTATCTTATCAACATAGTTTGGTATTTATGATAGCCTGTGGTGTAGCTAGCTCAGGCTTAGCCTGCCTGGAGATGGCTTACCGGCAGTGGATGATTGGCTCCAAACTTTTGAGAGCATGTTGTTCGGTGGTGTCAATCTTGGCCGAGAACCAATTGATGGGTGCTTGCAGTCCAATCCTTCAGGACATCAGCATTAAATAAGTTTAGATGAAGTTTTAGTTTCCCAACATGTTTCCTTTGTAAAAAAAAAGATTTAGCTGGGATTCAGGGTTGAAATCTTTTTTCCAGGAGGCCAATGGACCTTAGAGCCTGGCAGCATTGAAATTGTCAAGGGATGGACCAGGGCAACTTGTGTTGCGACCATTCTCGCTGCAGCTGCAGAGGTTGACTTGCAGGACCAAGCTGGCGTTGAGCTGCTGAAACCGATGTTCCACATTTTGGACAAGTGTTGGCTAGTTCCAGTTCATGTTACTTTGAATGGTCTCAATCAATTTTCCATTTTTTAAAAGCTGGACAAATATGGTTTCACAATGTTCCACTTAAAAGATTTTTCTTGGGTCAAAGAAACAATGCTCAGGTGGCCTTGGACGTTGGCGAGGTTGCCATGTCATTTCGGAATTTGCAGTTGTCGTATCAGGGGTCGGAGCGCCAGGCTCCAAACAACCTGCAGCTGGCACTTCGCTTCAGCAGAGTCATTGAAGTGCATCAGTTGGATGGTTCCCATCCTGCCCACTGGACAGCAGAAGAGAGGCTGAAGGACGTGGTCTCCAAATTCCATATCACATCAGGCCTCACGGCCCGTCATCGAATCGATGAGGACAAGTTCCGGGCATTGCTCAATCTCATCCAGGGGACTTGCCCTGAAAGCCGTCAAGTGCTTTCGAACCATTTGGACAGGCACAAGTGGAAGGAGTGTGCCTTCTCGACGGACCAATTTCGGTCCACCCGATGGGTTTTGGGGACATCACCGAAGATTCCTGTGTGCCCGATGAAGAAGGCATTGACTGTCTGTGCAGAATCTCAAGTTCTACACCTGCAGTTGGTCGTCAAGAGCTATGTTGATTCCTGCCGAAAGCTTCGACCCAGCGCTCGATCCAAGATGAGATTGTCTCAGGAGCAATTTGATCGCTTTTGTGATTTCTCTTGCATCTACACTGCAGTTTTGAAAGAGGCACGCCAATTGTCATCCTTCAATGCAGACAAGGAAGCTGAGGTGAAGAAGAGCTTCTTCCAGAAGAAACATGGTCCATTGTTTGGTATTTTTCCACTGTTTAGTGTTTTTGCCCAACTTGAAAAAAGAAACACTTTTTGCAAATTCAAGTGGGGTTGTTTTTGTAGGAGCTGATTTTGTTTTGGAAGGAGTTCAATTTGGTCCACTCAGGGATTACTTTGCAGAGATTGAGGCGGCCATTTCGGCCAAGTTGCAGACGTGGCAGTTGCAGCACCTGAGCTTGTGGACTGACTTCATTGAACCGCCCAGTGTCTCCGTGGTGATCCAGGACACAGAGGACATTGTTGCCATGGAAGATGCGGCTCAAGCGGCCAAATTTCGTGAGGTGAAAGCCAAGATTGCTCAGGATTGCGCCGCAATGGGGCGATTCAATGCACAGGCAGCGGCCAGTGCCAAGCGGCTTCATGTGGTTGAAGTGCTGCATGAGAAGGGGCAGATCCAGGTGGGCAAAGAGTTTCTCGATCAAAAAAGAAACAATATTTTTTGTATCAAAAGGCTTCCACACCTAAAAGAACTTAAGTATCGGGGAAACCAACAGTTTCGATTTGTTTCTTAACTAAAGCTCCTATACCAAAAAGTCTGTACCCACCATCTTTTTTAACCCGCCATCTGTTTGTATATGTTTGTATCCCCATCTATCTCTTTCGAATTGTATCCCCATTTGTATATTTTTGGTTTCAACCAAGTGTTCTGACCAATGACCAAGGCTTGCAGAGACCCACATGGAAAAGTTCAACAAGATGATCCATGTGACTGACTTGAAATCCTTCCCAAGCCTGGATCCTGCTTTCCGTCTGGTGGCGTCTCAGCACAAGGATTGGTGTTCCAAACTACTGTTATTGCTCAATATGGTCGTTCTCAACCATTTCAAAATCTAACCAGACCTGGTCTTCAACCAAGGATCCTTTTAATATATATCTAAATACAGATGTGTATACATAGTTATATATATATGGTTGTAAAACTATGTATCTTCATAAAGATATATATATATATACTATATATTTTCCATATTTTCCTCAGATCCAAGCCTCTCCATGCATCACCCTGGCTCCAATGCTCCATGCATCACCCTGGCAGGTGCCCGTGGATGATGTGCAGGCGGTGGTTTACTGTGACTGCACAAAGCTTGGGGTCATGTCGCAGCCAGAGATCAATGCCCTGGGAGAATTTCTGGAGAAGGTCCTCTTCAGAAACCCTTTTCGTGTCTTGGTTTCCCAAAAGATAAATGCATTTTGGTTGGTTTACCTTCCACATGTAAACCAAACAGCAGGGAACTTTTGATTTGTTGGCAAAGAACAACCCTTGATCTGATTTGGCAAAACATAATGATTAACCTGAGTAGCTGGTTCACTATTCAAATCCTTTCCTGTAAAAGCTCACTATCCTTACCCTTCAAAGTTCATTGAATCTCATTGACAAAGGATCAGCTGCCGTGGTCTTGCCCCCCTTGCTGTTCGGCAGCACTGCTGGGGGCAGTTTGAGGGCCGATTGGCGCAAGATCGAGGACAAGTTGGCCAACAATTGTCGGATCGAAATCCGGAACTTTGTTGTCAACCTGGACATGGGTGAGGTTCACAAGAACCGTGAGTTCCCCGGGGCGTATCTTTGCTGGTTGTGTGTGGCAGATAGCACCTTGCCGAACAAGGGCACTGCGCACCGAGCACTTCGTGGCAAGGACGTGGATCCTCCACCGGCTCAGATCAACCAGCAACTGGATTGCCATCAAATCTCATTTTTGAGTTTGTGAACCTCACCCATGTCCAAGTTGACAACAAAAGTTTCGGATTTGGATGCGACAATTGTTGACCAAGAAATTACATGAAATTATGGGGTTATGGGGTTTACACCCCTGATTTTTGATCAAGAAATTATATGAAATTATGGGGTGCTGGGGTTTACACCCTTAAGTGTTGACCAAGAAACTATATGAAATTATGGGGTTCTGGGGGTTACACCCTTAATTGTTGACCAAGAAATTATATGACATTATGGGGTTATTGGGTTTACACCCTTAAGTGTTGACCAAGAAATTATATGAAATTATGGGGTTATTGGTTTTACACCCTTAAGTGTTGACCAAGAAATTATATGAAATCATGGGGTTATTGGGTTTACACCCTTAAGTGTTGACCAAGAAATTATATGAAATCATGGGGTTCTGGGGTTTACACCCTTAAGTGTTGACCAAGAAATTATATGAAATTATGGGGTTATGGCTTTTACACCATAAAGTGTTGACCAAGAAGTTATGGGGTTATGGGGTTTACACCCTTTTTAAGAAACCGTTCAAAACATTGGGATCCTTTCAAATAAAATGTGATGTTTTTTGTCCAATTTCCAAATTTCCAAGCAGCGCCATCAAGAGTGCTTTTTCAACAGGGACCCCTCCAAGCCACTAATTAAGTGGTCAGTCTCTTGCAGATCAGCCAACTGAGGTTCTGCGGCAGCGACCTCTGGACCCGACAAGCTCTTGCCCCAGGCCACTTTCCTGCAGCCCTACAAGAGAGAGACTTCATCGTGCCAGGTGAGCAGCTGCTCAGCCATGACGGCCGACGCAATCTGACCGATCTGCAGGAGACGGCTCAGTGGCTTGGAGGGATCCCTGTTGCAAAATCGATCTTGATGGCGCTGCTTGGAAACTTGGAAATATTTAGCATATCTTTTCGTGTGGGACAGGGCCAAAAGAAAATCTCCCTGAGTTGAACAATTTTTCGAAGGCAATACTTGGCATCCACCCAGGAGAGGATGGGAAAAAGATCAAGCCAACGTTGCTGATCCACCCCACGGCTTATGATGCAGCCTTGGAGTTGGCTGGGATTCAGTTGGGGCTTGCCACTACATCATGCAGTTTGAACCATGTGTACTTCAAGACTGCCAATGAAATTCTCAAGAATCACCTGGTGCAGGTATCTGTGTTTTAAACCAAGTGCCACTTGTTTTACAAACCAATTCATAAATTAGAATGATGATATCCATTTACATCATTTACTAAGGTTTAAATTAATCATGATCCCTCCTTATACTAAAAGAAATTTTCCAATTATTCCTATGAAACCCTTCAGGCATGGAAGGATGGCAAAAGTCCGATGGACAAGTACGTGCCCCGCTACAAGAAGGAGCTTCCAGCCGAAGAGGTTCCCACTGCGGCATCCCGGCCTGATCTTTCGATTTGCCAGGTCGTCGACACCAAGATGATCCTGCCGAGGGACATCAGGCAGCAGTTTCTGACTTGCCCTGTTTGGGGTGCTGAGTGGAGAGCCCTGCTTCAGAAGTTCGATCGGGAATGGGGTTGCCATGAGGGAACACCAGTTGAAGTTGAATCAGCCCCTGCAGTGGAGGTTGGACCGTCCTACATCCCCAACGAGCCAGACACCCTTGCCAAGTTGAAGGAAAAGTATGGTGACCCCCTTGCAGAACTTCCAGTTCCGGATTCTCCTACGGTTCTTCTTTTGATGACTGGACCAATCTTGTTCATCATGGCAAAGGAGGCAGTTACCATGAGGCCATTTGATGGGCCACTGATGCTTCATGGGGCAGGTACATGGCTCACAGGTGAGAAGGCAACGAAATTCGAAGCCGAAAACCCAGGACGTGGAATTCCATGTCGCTTTGAAGATGATCGCCGCAAGGTGGTGCTGGAGGACAGCCACCACATTAAATTTATCGACCCCCATTTGTGATATATATATATATATATATATCCAGATATAATTAATCTCTATACATTTATTTATATCTATCTAATCTATATATATATATATGTATATAGTTTTGTATCTTGATATATGTATATATTGTTTTACACGCCCCCATAATATATATATATATACATATATATATATATATACATTTATATTAACCACCTGATATGTATTCATGAGAATATATATATATATATATATAACTAACTACCTGATTCCAAACCACCTGATTTCCAAAGTAATCCAACTATCCCATGACAGCCCTGCACTCCTGCCAGGAGAACGGCTCGGACTCTGCTGTCATGGTGCTGCGCCAAGCCCTGCAGCAGGTGGAGCGCAACATCACCGTGGACTTTACTCTTGGGGGGCATCGGTGTGAACGACCACCCCAGGTCACACAAGGCCATGCAGATGATTTCTTTCAAATCACCCCCGATGCAGATTCCCAGTTGTTATGGCGCCCCACGGCAATTGCTATGAGAAATTTGAAGCACAACAATGTCGCAAGCCACTTCTTGTGGTCCAAGTTGAAAGATTCACCCCTGGAGTTGGCCCCTCATCTGTTTGATTAGATTTGTTTTGTCTGGGGTACTATTTGTAAAGGTTATTTTTTACACCATGCAATCAAATTGATGGTGTTGTTCCCAAGTCTATCTTGGCATTAATCCCATTTTGTCCTATATGAAAATTATCACAATCAATGCACTACTTGCAGTAGATCATCAACCACTGTACCCACCATTTATCCCATTGTCTTTTCACATAAGTCAATCCCAGTAACCTGGGCCTATACCTTCATATCAGCCCAGGTTTGGCGCATGCGAGTCTATTCGGGTGAGAAGTGCGTGGCTGCCGCGAAGCCATTGTGGTATCTGAGTGGGAACTTGGAGCTAGCAAAGGATGAATGCAAACGCATTGTCTAACTATCTAAGTTCTCCTACACCATGTACGGTGTGCCATTTTGTGGGAAGCCTTGTGCATAGCACAGGGGTGGGTATAGTCAGTGACAAAGCCTGGCTATGGTGCCTTTTGCACCTCTTGAAAGTTGGCGTTTGAAGGGCCTGCACTGTGTGCTTTTGCAAAGCCAGTTCGAAATCATTTGCACAGAATCTTGTTGAACCCCTGGGTAGTATCTTGTATTTTTATTTTGTTTTGGGTGATGATGGCATGTGATCTGCACGCGCAGTGGCCAAAGAGTTTCATTCTCGCAGTGATCAACGCTTGGAAAGGAAAAACATCTGTTTCAAATTTGTTAAGCTGGTTTCACAATGTTTCTGGAGAAGAAACCAACAGCATTTTCATAGAAACCAAAAGTTGAAGCAACACAAATTCTTGTGTAGCAGGATTTGGGCTTCAAAACTTTTAGACAGGTTCCCATAGGTCTCTGCCGTGGCAATGGCCGCTTCTAGGATGATGAACGATCCAAACATTCTTACCCAGTGTATTGATCTTGATTTGGAGTTTGAGACAGCTGTTGATACACAGCCGTTTCGTCCCATCCGCATGGATTCCCAAATTGACCGTGAGCCTTCAGTGACCTTTTGCCTTCTTGGTGAGTCAGTGGCATCTACCCTTGCCAAACCTGTGGCTGAATCTGAAGTTCCAGGGGTTCCTCATGAGTTTCTTGCCTCTATGTGCGGGGTGCTGCATCAAAGTTTGGGTGCAAGTTCAGTGAAAGGGTTATTTAAAGCAACGCAAAGGGAGTTAAAGGTGCTTTTATTCGCATAGATTAGAGATATATTGCCATCGCAACTGAGGTTGGCAAACACCCAGATGCCTCCCACTCCACCGGAATTGTACCTTGGCTTATTCATGGGGGTTACCAAAAAATAATAAATGCAAAAAAATGATGAATAAAAAATCAAATGGTTCCACTACGTTATCCAAGATGTGTTTTTTCCTGATATCCAAGGAGGGCATTCCTGAAGGAGGGTGACACCTTGGAAGTCATGGACAACTTGATGAACCAGTTTGATGAAGCTGCTGAACCTGAAGCACCATCGTCTCCAAAGCGTTTGAAGCGTTCCCATGCTTTCTTGGTTGAGGAAAGTCCCGATTTCACAAGTGAGGAGCACCGCTACTACTACGGGGTGAAGCATTCTGCCCTGCCTACACCTGAGGACATCCGCAACCTTCGCATGCAAGCAGCCCCGCTTCATGAAGGTGATGGTGTTTCTGGTGATGGAGTTGGAAGCAGTACTGATGTCCCCAAAGGTCCGTCTGAGGCAGAGGAACCTCAGAACCATTTGGAACCTGTGCCAGAACCTTCAGAGGTCGTCCTCGCAGAACCTGTTGGTGAACCTGTCGGTGAACCTGTTGGTGATGTTGTTGAACCTGCCCAAGCCGAAGGTGATCATGATGATGATTCAGAGAGGAGGCGCGAAGAGCAAGCTGAGAAGAAACGCAAGAACTCCCGGGAATGGCATGCCAAGTGGGTGTCAAAGGGTGTGCCGCGTGAATCCGTGAATGCGGGTGCCGCGCCTACCAACATGCGTGAGGCATGCCAGAGGTTTGTCACGGCCTGGATTCGTGACTCTGGAATGCCCCCTAGCAACGATCGCCGCAAAGCAGCCTATGCTGCTTGGAATGCTTCTGATGAGCGAGCAGCGCTGCTGGCTGGCCGCGCAGATGTGCAAATGTGATTAGTTGTGTTTGTGGTCCCCATTTTTTGGACTGTTTTCTAATAAAAAACGCTCTATATATATGTTTATTTAGTTTTGTTTGTTTGGTGCACTGCGCTTCTTGGCACGGGCGCTGCAAAGTAGAATATTTTGGGGTTTAGGCAGCTTTCATCAGAGCTGTCTGCCAATCATTGGCATTGTTCCTTCCTGAATATTTGGTGATAAGATGATACCATCTTGAAACGCGTTGGGCTTCAAAAAACAGTTCACTGGGTTGATGCGCGCGCAGGAGGGGAATTGATTATACAATAGGACCATGTGAAATCCATGATTTCATTACCATCCATATGTTATGAATTAAGTTCTGGAATCCAAATCTGAAACTTCCCAACAACTTTAGTTTATGGCAATGTCATGCCACCGTACCGGTGCCGGCCCCACGCAGGCCTTCGAATGGAAACCAAAATCATCAGGTGCGGCCTCAGGCGGCCCAGATAAACTATCTGTATGATCTATAAACAAATACATATATTCTATAAGATATGTATGTACTGTCATTTACATCATTATACATGTAAGATAAAACTTACATACATGTAAGTAACTATATGCACATGCATACATACATACATACATCCATACAGACATAAACATATAAATAAACTTATGCATATACATACACATACAAACATTTATATATACATACATATACATACATATACATACATATACAAACATATACATACATATACATACGTATACATACATATACATACATGTACATACATATACATACATGTACATACACGTATATAAATATATATACATATATATGTATATATATATATATACATTCAGATACATACACATACACATACATACATAGACATACATACAAACATGCATACATACATGCATGCATCCAGGCATTCATGCATCTATCCATCTATACATACATCCATATGTATACATATATTTACTTATGTATTTAAACAATTTTAAACATATTTAGGTGTGATTCTATATATATATATATTCATGCTTTTAAATGATATATATCATCTGTTAGATACAAGTGCATATATATATATATAATATTTATATATGTAAAATATTTACATATGTATATCTATTTGTATATATATATATATCACTGCTGCCGTTCAACCCAGCTGGTCAACCCTGATGGTGTTTCCTGGCACACCCCTTCAAAAAAACTATTGGGGTTACTGATATATATATATATATATTTGGTTTATGGCAAATCCTTTCCTAAGGGGATATTTGTTGGGTTTAATGTTTAATGGTCTATGTATTTATATATATATATGATATGTTTTGGGGATTTGTGTATTTTGGATAGGGGTCAGTAGTAAACTCTTTCCAAAGGGGATACTTAATCGGATTTAATGGTATGTGTGTGCTTTTCGATGGAGGTTTGTGGCAAATCCCTTAGAATGGGAATATTTTTTGGGGAATATTGATCCGTGAAAATAAGTTGAAACTAAACATCGAAGGTACATGGAAAATTCCACCTTATAATAATGTGGATTTAAACCATGTTCATCTGGTTCTGATACCCTTCTGTTAATTGGTCTGTTTGGTAACTACCAAATTTTCGGTTTTGTTGAACCAAGATGGGATAGATAGAAAGAGAGAGAGAAAGAGATATATATATATACACACAGACACATCCTGCCCAACCTTCTGGGAGCCTTGCGCTGGCCAGGAGAAAGTCACGGTACCGGAAGCCGTGGCACGGTGCTGGCTTTGGGGTTCCCATAAGTGATTATATTGGGATAGATAGTCTATAATATAGTGAATATTGAATGAGATATAGTAGACTGGATGCCCACAACTATAATCTCTATGACTTTATGGTTGCACCAAACAAAAATATGTGAATAGACATGGCAACTTCTATTTATTTTGTAACCTGATTTTCTTTGTGAAATTTTTGGAATTTTGATCCCATATGCATAGTCGATTGATAGTGGGTTTCCCCAATGTTGGTGATCTGACCAAAACAGTCCTACTGGTATCCTTTTTTTGGAAAACAAGTATTGCTATGCTATTGGCGCAATTGGTTTTGTCCACATCGTGGGCCGTTTTTTTTTTTTAAATAAGGCTTTGCTGACACGGCCTATAGTTGTTACCAAAGTAATGGACCAGACTGTGCCGTCACCATGCTAGTGAGCAAAGCTGTGATGACAAAAGCTTGTAGCAGCACCATGCTAGTGAGCAAGGCTGTGATGACAAAAGCTTGTAGCAGCACCATGCTAGCTTGCTGAGCAAAGCTGTGATGACAAAAGTTTGTAGCAGCACCATGCTAGTGAGCAAGGCTTTGATGACAAAAGCTTGTAGCAGCACCATGCTAGCTTGCTGAGCAAAGCTGTGATGACAAAAGTTTGTAGCAGCACCATGCTAGTGAGCAAGGCTTTGATGACAAAAGCTTGTAATTAACAGCATCATGACAAAGTTGATGGTAGTGGAGCGCCATCTTGGTCAGGAGCCAGATGTTATGAATTTGGGGCCAGATGCCACCAATTTAACTTTTTCTATTTTAATAGCAGGCGAGACCAAAAACGGGCGCGCAAAATCCACGCGTTGGAGCGTGTGGCAATCCTGTTTTTGGGGTTGCGACATGACGCTCGGAACGCACCCAGCTGCTTCAAAGTTCGCCAGAAAACATGAAACCACAAAAGGCAGGAAGGATGACACAAACATCCACGTGCTGAACTGGGGAGGACCGCCTTTGGGAGTCCAAATTCTATATACCTTTCCAACCCCAAAAATGGGCATGAAACAAATCGAACAGTTCAGTGACATCATCTTGCACTTCTTGCGGTTTCTTGCGGAGTCGTCTGGAGCCGCAAAGTTGGAACTCTTTCAACCCTTTCCACATTGCAAATGGGGTTTCAGCAGGTGTACCGACTCCGCCCGACTCCGGCAAGACTCCGCAGCTAAAGACATCAAAACTGGCACAAAACTGTGGTAAAACGGAAGTTCTGCATCTCCAGCCTTCTTACGGAATCTGCTGGAGTCATGAAATCGAAACTCTTCCCCCAATGCAATCAAAGGATTCATCCGGTTTTAAATATATACTATTATTCTTTAACCGGATGATACTGAACTCCGGGCGACATACACAACCCGACCCGCAAAGGTGCCGCGTTAGGAGTCTATAAGGGGCGAAGGGGGGGGAGCCCAAAAACAAACAACGCATCAAGAGACCAAAACAAACCTGAGCAGTGCAAACGCAAACACAGAAAAAGCACCCCGCCAGCAATGTCGCAGCGGAATCAGCACCTCACCCACGCCATGTTGCGAAAGCCTGCGACAACAACACCCAACCAATTCCAAACAACATGGTGCTTTGGCAAAGACTGGCGACATGCAGGCGGGGCTAGAGACCTTCAATCAGCAACCGTGTTCCCCGGAATCCTGCCATTCCGTTACACTTGCAAAAGTATTGCTTTTTGGTAAAGCTGCGCCATTTTTCGCAAAAAAGGGCACTGCAGCAATCTCATTTTCGAGGCCGTAAACCCATTGGCTTTTTGGACTCCAAAAAGTGGTCCTCCCCAGTTGCGTTGAAGCTTGCTGCTTGAACAAAACCCAACTTTCATTTTTTAATTTATTTGCGTAATGTAAGAGCTTCGTGTTTCGAGCAGGTCGCAAGGTTCCACACTGCCAAAAATGGGATTGCCACGCGCTACCGCTTTT